AAAAAAAAAAAAAAAAAAAAAAAAAAAAACAGTTAAGGTTACCTGATCCTTCCCAAAGACATCTCCCTTGGCGATTTGAAGTACAATAGAGTATCCAATTTGACCGGCTGCGCCAGTAACAAGAACGCGAATAGGTGCAGTCATGCTGAGTGTTTTTACCTAGATAAATAAAGAGAGTAACATTTCCTAATTTTGTGCCTTCATTGCAGCCTCCTGATAACAAGCGATAATGGTAAACCATCAACGTATATTTAAGACTGGCATTAAACCTGCTCTTTATATTTAAAGGTTCTAAATCCTAATTTTAAGGATTCCAAAACGGGGAACTGGGTGACTACTGTATGTGAAATGAAACAGCTAAAACGATAAAGTAGAAAATCAATGATTCAAAAACTTCTTTAATTATTGGTAATAAGGCGCCTCCATTTTTCTTACGTAAACAAATATTTTTATGAACAAAAAAAAAAAATTGCTAGCTTCTAGTTTTGCAGTGCAAATATTTCACTACTTCCATACGTACAGCCAGCGATTGACAAAATGAATCAATAAAAAACTCGGTGTTTCAGCAAATGCTACACTAAAAGAGCAAAAAAGTCTCATCGAATATATGTATTGATTCAAACATACGAAGTAGAAGAGACAAAAAAAAAAAAACCAATCATAGTAAGATAACGAATACGAAATTTTAAATGACGAAATTTTTGTCATGTCATACGTCCGTAGCAAATACAAATAGAAAAAAGAACAAAAAAAAGAAAAACAGCGATAAAAATAAAAAGCAATACGCGGTTCTAGACTTGCAAAAACTCAGCAGCACTTCTTGATGAATTCAGAAGGCAAAAATTTATCAAAACTGCTCATAAAGGCAAAGTGAAGAAAATTAAAGGCAAGAAAAGAAACCCCAGTAGAAGGAAAAAGACTGAACCCATAAGAATCCAAGTAAACCATAAGGCATATCAGTCACCATCCCAGCACAGCCGTACACAAAATTCTCCGCTTCACACACTGAACTCCATCCTTCCTTCAACTCAGCACTCAAATACCATTTCTCTATTCCCTATTCTCTCTTTTTCTCTGAACCTCTTCGCTGGCCAAGCAGTGAAAAACTCTCTATTTCAAGTTCAATTTTGACATGGCTACGTGCAAAAGTTGAAGGTTTTCAGACCCTTTTTGCAGTCAATACGCTCACTGCTGCAGACGTCCATCAACAAAACCCCTAGTGAACTTTGGGAACCGGACGAAGAACTGTGCCTGCCTTAGTGTGCTGTCCCCTCTCACAACTGCTACTCTTACAAAATCTATAGGTGTACAATTTACACACAGACTCTGAGAAAATCAGATACACTCAGACACAGACAAATGCGCAAACAAACAAATAAACAGGTGCACATCAAGCACAAAATTAATTTACATGTAGAAGCTGTGTGGATAGTAATTCTTATTTAGTGTTGTTTTCTGAAATCCATAAAAGGTGCTGTTGGCAGCTACTGGAAAACAATGATAGCATATTGTGAAAAGTGCGATATTATATGCAAACACAATCGATGGATACGTATCGATTAGCCAAAAGAAAACGCCGATAATGCCGCAACAACTTCCCCTTTAGCATAGAAAATACTGAATTATCCATTTTCAAGAAGTGGCTATAAAAGCTTTTCATTTCCACTTGGCAAGTCCTGGAACTATGTATTAATCCATTAAGTTCATTTAAAAAGGGGTTAAAAAATGCTTTAAGCTGAGCTGAGTAGACAGGTAGTTATGGAAACTAATTAGGATTAGTGATTCCCATCTGCCTTCCTGTTTTTCTGGCTATAAATTTTATTTTTTATTTCCTTATAAAAAAGGTGAAAAAAAATTGAGCAATTACAATTTCCTGAATTAAAACTATTTCACTGTTTAGACCACACTTAATGATAGCTCTAAAACTAGCAGTAGCTGAAGAAATGAGAGAAACACTCAAGAGGTGACGGTAATTGAAAAATGGAACCATACAGTGCAGTTGATGGGTTATATATCATGAAAATTTTCATGTCACTGTACTATCACTTAATGAGAAGATAAACTGAGCAACAACAGTAAAAATACAAGAAAAAAACGACTGTTCATGACGTCTGTCTTTCGTCCTTGTTCACAGGAAGTTGAGAAGTTGACAGTACTATAGAATCGTTGACAAATATGATATTTCAATTACTCTGAAGGTATATTCCCAAACATTCAATTAATATTACATATATCGCGTCAAAAGAAATTCCAGAAACAAAAAACCGAATTGTACATACAGTTGTTAACAGTTTATTTTTACATAATTAATATAGTTCAATATAGCAAATTGTATTTGTCGTTATCTCCTTATGAGCGTTAACAATTTTTGATTACTTTACAGCATTTAATTGCTGTTGATAAAATTGAAAAAAAAAAGGAAATTTGTCAATAACAACAGCACACATTTTATTCAGATATACATTACAGGAATTGACGATCGACTAACGTATGACACAGCAAAATAAAATTTTAAGTTTTATTAGTGGAAAAGAAAAATGAACTTTTTTCTGTTGTCATTCCGCAAAAGAGTAAAGATTAAAGAGGGGGTTTTTTTTGGCAAAAAAAAAATAAAATAATGTGGGGAAAAAAGTATTTTACCAATTTGAATGGGTAACAAATATATTTGTTCATTGTTTTTCATTTCTTTTCATTAGTCAAAATTTGTTAATTGCTGACCATAATCACTAACACAGCCGATCAAAAATCACATTAACTTTAGTACGTTTCTGTTTTTCTTACCACAATAATCATCTGATGCTTTTTTTATTGTTTTTAAATTAGAAGCAAATTTTTTTTCCAGTAAATTCAACAAAAGATATAGTTGTTTGTTAGAAATGGTAAAAATTACCCATTATTGGAACCATTGATAAAACTGCGTATATTTTATCAATTTTTGAAAGCATTTAGTACAGTTATTTTCTTTGTTTAGTTAACTGTTATAGTGATACTGTGATAACACCAACGGATTCTGTTTATTATAGCTTACAGCTCTGTTGTTAGGTTTAATTTTGTTGATGTCGTAGTCTGTTGGTGTTGTATCTGCCTACAGTTTTTTTTTTTTGAAGGGGTCGAAGTGATCAGTAATTTGGTGGAATTTTTCTAGGTCGCTGTTATTTACGAGGCAAACAGTTGCATTTACAAACATTAGCAAAGTATTCACATTTGCTCAGCACACTTTTTCTTTCTTTGCTAAGAATTTAATCAGTGGTACGTTTGTAAAAATTTCTTCATTCTACTTTTTAATCACTGATTCAATAAACCAACATTAAAACTTCATTCAACAAATAAGTCAAAATAGCAATAATTCAACAAACTTATTATTGGTTTTTTTTTTTCCTGGATATTTTAATAGAATTACATTATCCCAATCAGTTATCGTTTCAATTATGTAGATTTCTGTTGTTGCTATTTTTATTTCTGTACACTGTAAAATAAGCCTTATGAAGATTAATTGGATAAGATTGCTTTACCGCATAAGTCTACTTCTTCTTCTTCATTTTTGACAAAATTTACATTTTTTTTCATTCCTCTATTTACATCATTGTACTGAAATGATAATTGTGCTTCAAAGTGCTCCTTTACTAGAGTTATTTTGAATTATAAAAATTTTTTAAAAAAGCCATAGCGTGAACTTCAGAAATTCACCAGCTAAAATGTCTACAGCATTCTACTGAGATTGTTAAATGAGCTTGAATTTACCTACAGCAGTATTGTTGCTTCAACAATTTTTTCTGCTGATGGTTTATTGTAGAGATCAGGAAAAAAATTTTTTTTTTGAAGAAAAGCCTTATCTAAATTTGCCTGTATTTTTACCTTATAAAGTACATCTAATGTTTGTACACTTGCAGACGAAAGTCTGAGGGGGCAATAAAACTTACTATTTTTGAACGTACTAATAGACCGAATTTAGAAGCCTTACCACTATCGATGTATATAATTCTTAGGTTGCCAACATTTTCTACTGATAGCAACTATAAAACGGCAACTATATGACGAAAAAATTTGAAGAATATAGGAAAAAAAAGCAAGTACTCCAATTTTTAAGTGGATAAAAAAATATTGTTTGAGAAATGAAACATCAACTGCATTTCATAGGCTGCATTTCTTTATTGGTTTCTCAAAATTAACCCTCAAAATTGCCGCCAGTAGTAGCAGCCATTAAGATCTGTAAAGATATCAGAGAGCAGGATTTAAATTATTACTATTTACACGCCCGTCGATTAACCGGTTTATTTTTCAGAAGATTAACAGTTGCGGTTAAGTCACATTGCTTAGCAGAAGCTAGGCTCATTGCTTAGCAGAAGCTAGGCTCATTGCCTTGCGTTCATTTGTTGTCTAAGTCTAAACAAAGATGAACTAGCATTTAGGAAGCGTTACTACACCTTTAATATTCAGAATGATTTTGTCCGGAATCAAAACGTATAACCAAGTCCTGTTCCCTTTTTTTAAGTAAAACAAATTAGCAGTTGCAATTGTTCTATAAGGCATCAAGCAGGTATTTTTATCGCAACCGAGCGGTAACAGCACTAATCATGATACTTCCAACCACAACATATATAATATTAGTATAGAAAGTAAACAGACTGTTGCAAACAGCAACATTAAAGACTAGAAACTGTCGTGAAGTTTAGTATAGGTAACATGTTGAAGAGGTTTAAAGCTTACACAAGTAGACTAGATGAAAAAATTCTCACAACATCAGTAGCAAAAAATGGTTTTAATGCAACAACCGAAAACGACGTGAAAACCTTCAAAAAGCCAAAATTTTTTCAGTAGAAAACGTGTAAACAGTTGAAAGATTTGTCCTAACAATATATCACATCCTTCACTTCTGATCAATTTCGCCTAATCAACTCAAACTGCAACTGTTTATCTTACGGAATTAATGCATAAATATTGGTTGAACGTTTCTACCAAATTATAATAATCATACAGATAGAGAAACCCGATTTTCAATTAAAAAAACATTCAGTAGAGAGCTTTCCATAATTACAGCAAGAAGAAGATAAGTGAAAGACATATTATTACAATCATTAAGTGAGCGACAGTATTTGATCTGTTGCCATCCCAGTGGAGAATGCTTAACTTCTAGTATAAATCTTAAAATATGACTTGAACAGTAACAGTAATGATAACAATAATAATTACAACAATAATAACTGTAAAAATATAAAGACTACTAATAAA